TTTGTTTTTTATTGTCCTACTAGGTGGTGCTTTATGGAAGGCTCATTATGTGACACCAGTATTCCAGCCTGAAGGTGCAGGAGCCTGTTATGGAAAAGGAATTTGCCCATGTTCTGGAGAAGGTGTGATGCATCATGTTCCCCCTTTGCTGTTTGACCTCTCAAGAGACCCATCAGAGGCCACCGCTCTGTCACCGGACACTGAGCCACAGTTCCACGCGGTTCTCAAGAGAATAGAGGAAGCTGTGAAGGAGCACCGCAGGACGCTCACTCCTGTCCCACAGCAACTTTCTTTGCTGAACATCATGTGGAAACCGTGGCTGCAGCCATGCTGTGGAACATTCCCGTTCTGTTGGTGCGACAAAGAAAAAGATGACATATAAAATAGACAAAGATTTCTTCTCTGGGCTGGATGGAACACAGTACTAGTAAAATGGGAGTCTGGGGCATGGTGGTGGGGGATTATTATCTCATGACCTGAAAAGAAAGAAACCTAATAAAAGAAATAAGTAATTAAAATGAAACAGAAGTCTGGTAAATTGTGTTGTACTGCAATTGTTCTGTGAGTCAATAGTTCTGAAAGTGAAGTTGTAAGTACACTAATTTAATCTGTTGCTTTGAGACAGTAAATGACCTCAACTTTTTGTTCATATCTAGAACAAGCAGCAGATCTTAGGGGCACTTCATGACAGAGCTATGTTGGTGTGACAAGGATGCTGCTGATGCCCATTCTGTGAAAGTGGGCTAGCCAAAGCATCTTGTTCCAGTTGTTTTAACTATGAAGAACATCAACCACTGTTGAAAATGTTGTTTCTTCAGTGATTTAATGACTTCCTACTAATCAGGGTTGCTTTATCCTATCCCTATAGCACACCATGGCTGTGATGGAAAGCACAGTTGCAGCTTTTCTTGCCATTCTCATTCTCCAGTGTTGTAATTTATGACCAAGTGGTAAAATCTGAGATACAAACACATTTTGTGACTATACCTATGTCTGTAAGGAGAGTCCAGTGCTGGAAACTGTGTGGATTCACATCAACCTTTCATATCTCCATCAAGAGCAGACCTTTGTAAAGCTAATGTGCTTGGACTGTCCACTGAAGACCAAGCCATAGCACAATACTTTGCATTTCAACAAGAATAGCTTACAATAGTACATTGTTACTAGGAAAAATCTGTTTTTCTACCAGCTACCATGAGGATTACAGCTAAGCACAGATGAGACAAGGAGGCTAGAAGGGAATGCCAATTGTTTACAGGATTCCTGCTGGTAAAAGTGTTCCAGCACTTCTGCCCTGTGAACCCAGACTCTACTACACCACTTCTTATAACCTGTTGTTTCTTCCTTCCATCTGGACATCATATATCATAGGCAGAAACAGAGGGCAGCTGACAAACCTGGGGGAAGAAAGGGCTGGATTAACAACATGCTCTTTCTTCTGGGTGGGGAAAACATATTGCTTTTTATCCACACAGTATTAGATTTTGAAAGAACTTTGAACACTGATTCCATGGTGATTTTATATCATGTTCTTTGTTCCTATAAACTTCAAATAGATATCCTTTTCCCTCATATGCTTTTATCTGCACCTGTCATAAAGTTGAGGTTGGAATTCAAATAGTATTCAAATAAACTGAAGCTGTTGTTGGATCTTGATTAAAGAGTAAGGCTTTCACAGATTTTTGTCCATATTTGCAGTGCCAATTATGTGTGTTACCTTGCTACTGTCGTACTTGATTATCAATAACACCAAACAAACTTCATAAGTAAAGGAAGTTATGGTTCTGCTAGTTTCACCTACTACAGGCCTGAATAGTAGGATTCTTCCACCAGTTATATTAAATTTCCATTGAGAACATGAAGAAATCAGCTCAAGCCTTTTGTTGCTGTTGTTATTTTGTTCAGGAGGGTTGAGTGAATGGAAATAACATAGATGCTGAAGGTGCAATTGAGTTACATAAGAATCAAACATTTAGTTTCTGTCAGAGGTGGAATATAAATGATACTTCCTATATATTTCTACCATTCTCTGGACATCAGCCAACATTAATTTCTGCTCCTTTTCTGCCCAAACCTCTTTATCCTTGAGCTTACTAAAGTCTAGCAAATGATTTATCAAGGGGGAAAAGGTAATATATGGACTCCAGACTTTGATTTTAGAAGCCAAAGTTGCTTGGATTATTTATTTCTATGACTAGTCAATCTTAGGTTCAAGCCAGGATACATTTCTTGTCATACCGCTCTTCTTGTAAAGGTTTCTTAGCCTCTGCATTTGTTTGTTTGTTTTTCTGTAGTAGGAAAAGAAAGCTGCTATAGGTGGGGCAAAATTCAGAGGGGAAAATCTCATTTTGAAGAGAAAGATACAGTCATCCATGTTTCCCAAAACCACTCACTGTAGCCCATTCACAAATGGGGCCCACAAAAATATACTGCCATGTGACATATCCCCAATTATTCTTCTGATCTGTCAGCCATATTCAATTCCATTCCATCCTCCCATTTTATTTTCTGTCATGGAGAGTACCAGTCACCATCTTGTTCACAGCTCTAGCTCTAATGCATACCAGCATAGCAGGGGAAGTTTTTCCAGTTGTGGGGACCAGCTGATAGAAAAAGGTTCATCTGCAGTGCTTAGCATAGTCAGCTGCTGTTTGAAATACTTCATGAATTCCTTGAATGGAAAGGCATTTGTTCAATACTTCAGATAAATAAATCCCGAAGAACAAGAAAGCTGGAATATGTTTGGGGCAGTGCTGATGCATCAGAATTTGGGGAGATGCCTTTGAAAGATCTTCAGAGAGTCACCATTTTAAACTGGAGAACAACCAATTGATTGGTTGGGGGAAAGGCATGGAGTCAAGGGAAGGGCTACTAGGCCCGAGGTTCTTCACACCTTTGTTATGGAAAAACCATTAAAAGGGTTCTGCTATTCCATAAATACTAATCTGTGTTGTACAGCAGGGGTTTTCATAGGCCTGGACCCATTTTATAGTGAGTGCACCATGGCCCAAATTATCAACTAACTTAGAGTTCAAGAAAAAGAAGTCTGGGGATACTGTTAAGCAAAAAGAAAAGAAAAAAGAAAAGAAAAGAAAAGAAAAGAAAAGAAAAGAAAAGAGAAAAGAAGACTACAAAACATTTAATGATTAGGAAGCAAACACAACCAAATT